CGTGCCGGGCCGTCCTGACTGCAGCAACCTGAAGGGCAGGGGGGCTGTGGGACGGTGGCCATGGGGGGCTGACCCCTCAAGCCCCGCCATCGCCACCCCTAGCCACTACCTGAGCCAGCGCTCCCGCAGGCAGGCGCAAGCGGGCCTGCCGGAGCGTCCCAGCTCTGGGCAGTGCTGGGGCAAGTCCGGGCTGGGGGTCCAGTTGCCTGGCTCCTCCAGCACCTCCATCTTGCAGCAATGGTTCTGACTATCACCCCGCTGCAGGCCTGGGGATAAGGGGAGTGGGGTGACCGCTGGGTACTGTGGCACAGAGCAGGGTGACAGCCAGGTGCTGTGGCACCGGGTGGGCACTGGGGCAAGGGCAGGGTTTGGGGGGACCACTCACCAGCACAGCTCTCCTGTCCCCCAGCAGCATCTGGAAGAAGAGTGCAGGGGAAAATGGGGGGACAACCCCAAAATCTAGGGTCAGCCCTCCCTCTGCCCAGAAGGGAGGGAGGAGGCAGGAGAATCCACCAGCTGCCCGGTTCAAAAGGAGCAGCCCCCCAGTTACCGTGGGCTTCAAGCTGGACGGCCATCGGGGCTGGTGAAGGCAAAACCACTGTGCCTGCAGTGACCCAACACCTATCCAGCCCCCCAGGGCCACTGGCTGCTGGCCCCAGGTTTTAAAATACCCCCCAGCAGCAACCCCTCCCCGCTCCGCTCGCCTCTGCCAGCTCGCTGCCATCCCGGGGGGACCCTCCTGCCTGGCTTGGCCACGTTTCAGGGTGAAACCCTGCCACAGCCTTTAGGTCCTTGCTTTCCCACAGGGAAAACACTTTCCCCAAGCCCATGCCCACCCCAAGCTGGAGGTGCCTGTGTCCCCCCACCACTCACCGGGCAGCACCAGGAGCAGCAGGATAGTGCCCAGGAGCCGGCTCATGATGGTTTGTGGGGTGTCCTGGCCACCCCCCGCTGCCCCACGCTGCACTGCTCCCCTTGTCCCGGCGACTCTGCTCCTCCCTGGGCTCCCCCGGGGCTTGCGGCCACTCCTGAGGCAACAGCTGTGTCCTCATTTCCCTTCCACGAACCCCTCGCAACCCGGCTCGCAGCAACAGTGATAACAGTCAGAGCTGCGTCGTTTCCCCCGGGGCTGCTTCCCTCCACTGACTCAGGGCTTTTTTCCTTCCCCTTCTCCCCCCTCATCCTGCCAAATCCTTGGCCAATGCCCCCCACCAGCCCAGCACCATCTCAGGTCATCCCCTCTCCCAAACTGGGCATCACCACAAGCCACCGGGGATGAAATGTCCCCTTCCCAGGAAGGCGCCCCTGCCCCAGCTGTGAGCAGGGAAGCAGGCAGAGGGGGGTTAGCCGCAAGCGGAGATCACCCAGAAGGGGAACTGGTGGGTTGGGAGATGCGGCACTGGTGTGTGAGCAGCATGGCCAGGACAGCCACACTTGGACACATGGACCCACCGGCACGGATTCCCATCCTGCAAAGCCTCCCTCTTCGGATTCCCATCTGCCACCAGCCTCCCTCTCCACTGGGTGCTGATGGTCCCTGGAGCCTGCAGCAGCTTCCTCAGCCACGGCATCCCCCACCAACCCCTACGGCACCAGGCTGCTGGTGCTCTGCCGGGAGTGCTGCTGCTGGCCCCACCTCAGCGGGATCTACGGGCTGAAATGCCAGGTCCTGCCCTGGGGATGGGACAACCCTGCCTGAGGGATGGGTTCTGTTGGAGACCCCACGAACGACCCCAGTGAGCCACGCGCCAAGCAGGAACTACTTTAATGGACACGAGTCTGGTGCATAGGCATGCTCCTGAAACTTCCAAACAATCCAAAAATATATATTCAACAAAATAACAAAAATAGATCATTTCAGGGGCTAGAGGCTGTTGCGGGGGCAGAGCTAATCCTGACTTCGCTGGGGAGGGCCCCTCCTGGCGACCACCAGCAGGGGCACCACCAATCCCACCCATCGCCCCTGGCCGCAGGGCACGGGAGGGGCCATCCGGAGGCACCGGGACCCTGCCCCTGCCCCTTCTGCTTTCCACAGCCCTCCTTGCCCGAGTAAGCATCCCTCCCTCTTCCCCCACGGATGCCAAGCCGAGGGATGCACTGCTGCCCAGTGAGATGCGGCAGGTGGGAAAATTGGGGAAGGGGACTGCAGAGGCAAGGGGCAGCCAGCCCCACTGCAGGTCCTTGGGCTCCCAGCAGCCCTAGGAGGTGGGTGCAGTAGCAAAGCAGAGGGCTTGGTTCTTCCTGCAGCCATCCTCTGTGTGGGGAGCCTGGCGCAGGGCTCAGCCGAGGTGGCTCTGGCTGCTGTTGGGCTGCAGTTTGACGCTATCAGAGCTGCTCTGCAAGTCAGGGGACTTTCTTGCCTGCAGCACCATGGTCCAGTACCAGATGAAGATGAGGAAACCTGGGACAAGGAAGGAGGATTTATAGAATTGTTTGGGTTGGAAAAGCCCTTTAAGATCACCAAGCCCAACCGTTCCCCTAACCCTGCCATCCCACCACTAAACCCTGGCCCTAAGCACCTCCTCTGCCCGGCTTTTAAATACCCCCAGGGATGGGGACTCGACCCCTTCCCTGGGCAGCCCCTTCCAGGGCCTGACAGCCCTTGCGGGGAAGGAATTTTTCCCAATGTCCAACCTAAACCTGCCCTGGCACAACTTGAGGCCATTTCCTCTGGTCCTATTGTTTGTTACTCGGGAAAAGAGACCAACACCCAAAGGGAAGGAAGGGCAGGTGAACCCCCTCTACGGACCAACAGCAGTCAAGAGTGAGCCAGCCAGCCTGCCAAGGACAGCCATCGAGTACCCCATCACCACCCCACCGACACCCCATGAAAGCCCTGGTGCCCTTCAGAGGAGCCTGGCATCCGAGGCTCACCTTGGAGGGAGTTGACGATGGTGAAGATGTAGAGGGAGACAAGGCGGAAGACACCGGAGGTGAAGGAAAAGAAGACCAGTGCCCAGGGGATGCCCAGCAAGATGCTCAGCCCAAAGAGGGCTAGCACATGTTTGAGCTTGTGACCTTTCTTGTTCTGCCGGAGGATCTCCCGGACCATGGCTCCCAGCATGACCGAGTTAAAGAGGAACACCAGGCTGAACAAACCCAGGTTCACGACATTATGGATCAGGGGGCTTGTGATCCAGCATCTGGAGGGAGGAGACAGGGCAGAGGATTATGCTGCGTTGTCCCACAGGGACATGAACTGGAAGGGTTGAGGGAAGCACAAAGGTGCGGTGCAAACCCAGCACCCAGCTTAGTTAAACAGGGAGGGGAGATCCCCTACCACCACCCTGCGCAAGGCCCCAGAGAAGCCACAGGTGGGCTAAGGAAGGTCCACAGGACACAGTGAATGTTTATCCAGTTGAGTTTATCTAAGGCCAGGGACCAGGGCAACCCATTTCCCATGACTTACATGGTTGCGTTGGTGGATTTGCCGCCAACAGATTCGTAGACGGGAATGGAGAAGGGGCCATAGTTTGTCCAGCTCACCAGGCAGATCAGGGTCACGCAGAAGAAGGGCAGTCCTGGGTGGCAAGAACAGAATGAAGCAGCTGCCCTCGACCCTGGCCCTTGGGCTTTCTGTAAGGATCTGTCACCCCTTTCTCCCCATGCAGGGTACAAACCAACATCCTCCCTCCCAAGGGGTACCAAGGATGGAGCACCCAGCGAGGGTGCCTGGTGTAAGTAAGTCCTGACCCGGGAGCAAGCTGTGCTGCACCGATGCCAGCTGGGGATCTCCCAGGGTTGTCGAATTTTAGGCCACAAAAGATCATGAGATCTTCCTGCTGTGGCGAAAGCCTGGCAGACGCGGGTGGGTGCTTCCTGCATCAAGCCCATCGCTCTGGGCTGTCCAGGGTGTTTCTTTCAGGAAGAGAGGCCCCCATCACTATTTAAAGCCCCTGAGCAGTGGCTCTCGCATGCCTCCCCTTGCTGGGTAACCCCAGGGTGACCGACTCTCGCTCCAGCCCCAGCTTCTGCTCTCAGCCACCGAGTCTCCTTCTCCACCAAGTCTCTCGACAGAGAGAGCCCTCCGCTCTCAGACATCTCCTCCCCCCTAGCTACATCTGCATCCCCATCCAGGCACCATAGACGGAGGGAAAGACCTACTCGGCCACCCCTTTGCCCCCATTGCCCATGCCTCCCCCATGCTCACCCCAGCCCACCAGGCAGAGCTTGAGGAGGAAACGATCATGGTAGGCATTGAAGACTTCAATCACAAGCCGGTAGAGGTTGTAGCCCTCAATGCCCATCCAGGTGAGGCAGCTCAGGAGGGAGAAGTGCAGGAACAGCCCTCCAGCTCTGCAGACTGCCTCGCTGCTGCTGGAAGCCAAGTGCTCGGAGATGAGGAAGGTGATGTCCAGGAGGAAGATGGCACCCAGCAGGTTCATGTGGATGTGCATGCTCGTGATCTGGTCTCGCTGCTTGCTTCTGGAGAAGTGAGGAGGGGGGAGACCTCACCACCATGCCTGGCCAGCATCCTTGGCATCCCACAGCACCCCACAGCTCCACACAGAGCAACTCGCCCTTGCCAGAAGAGCCAGGAGACCCTCTGGTGGTGTCAGGGGCTGAGAGCCTAACCCCATGGGTGGGACCACCCATTACATGTGCAAATCTAGGTCCCTGCAGCTGACCCTGCACTTCAGATCTAGGCCCTGGGGGGTAGGGAGCGACATCTTTTCAGCTCTGAATCACCCACGTAGGATCAGTGACATGACTCATGTTCTTCACCAGGCCCTCAAAAAGATCTTTGCAGGGTTCTGCTTGCCAGATCCATAACAACAACCAAGCTGGTTTTCCAAAATCACCAAAACCAGCCAGTGTTTTCGAGCGCCCCAAGGGAGCCCCCCCGACCAAGGGGGTGGTTTCCGGAAAGGAGAACTCTGCTTTCTTCAAGTGTGGCTCCTCCATCATGCTTCTAGCCAGGCCACCAACCGTGTTTGGAGAGCTTGCACCCACTCGGGTGTGGTGGCCAGGGCCAGGACACAGACGGGGAGCAGGGGGTGACCTGTCAGACCGTACCTGAAGTAGAGGAAGAAGATGGTGCAAATGGATGCCAAAGCTGAGATCAGGCAGCCGATGTAGGTTATGATACTCAGGTAATCCCTGTGCATGTAGGCGATCTCTGGGGAGGACACCTGAGGAAGAGGAGGAGGAATGGGAGATGGTGAGGAGAAGCAGCCAGTGAGAATGACGTAGAGCTGCGGGATGGCGGTACCCACCATCAGCACAGCAAAGTAGGTGAGGTGGTTACACCTGCAGTCCGTCTGATGGCTACCCGTCGCTGTCGTGCAACCGTAGCTGTCCCAGCTCCCCGAGCCGGCTACACAAGAGAAAGGGAGAGAGTGCAGTGAGCAGGGGGACATCTGCTTCGGCTTGGCAGATCTTCAGGGCGAGGTGTCTGTGGCGGGGGGGGGGAGGTGAGGACAAAAGTGGGGCGCTCAGCTTGTCCCATGCCAAGCAAACACACTCAAGACAGCACCCTCAGCACCAGGACCCATCCCGAGGAAGGGAGAAAGCTCTTCAGTTAGCTATGGGAAACCTGAAATCAACCCCACCAGAAAGGCTTATGGAGCTGGAGCAAGGAGCAGAGGTGCAGAGCAACTTCTACTCCTACCAGCAGGTCTGTGGTATCCTACAAAAGGAGCAAAGGCAGCGCCTGGCTTCACAGCCAAGCGCAGGAGCACTCACCGGTGGTGTCCTCCTGCCAGAAGACGCACAGTGGGGTCACATTCCTCTGCAATCACAAAACCACAGGCCCTGATCAGGGTGCAGCTGGGGATTTATTGCCCAGCCGGCACATTTGATAGAGAAGGACATGGGGCAGGAGGTGAAACAATCTCGGGAGATAAACCGTCCCGTATCATGGGGGCAGGCTCCAGGCAGAGACCATCCTCTCGGCAGCTCACGGGGCAGATACTTCCTCCCAGGTCCCCTTTTTCAAACAAGGGGTGCAGCTTTGAGCAGGCGCCTGACATGAATGAGCCACGGGACTGTTAACTCAAAGCGTCCCCCAGCCCTGGCAACTGAGTTGCTGGAGGCCACACATCTGCAAAGCAGCATATCCTGGACAGGAGCCACCACCAGCGCACCCGGTGAAGCCGCGGTCGTGAGACAGCCCCAGAAGCCATAGCAGACCCTGTACAGGCAGGCCGAGGGCATGGGCCTACCGGATTGTGACCACTCTCCACGCTGGCGGGGCCTGAGCCCTCCTTGCCCCTCCATTCCTGGTGGGAGCAGGCTCAATGAGGCTGTTTCCCCACCTACCGGCAGCTGGTCGTGGAAGAAAGTGAGGACCACTGGATCGGAGAGGTTGGCCACCACCGTGTCCACCAGGGAGATGCCAATCACCTTGTCACCCAGGACGTGGCTGCTGTTTTCATCCTGTGGGAGAAGAGGAGGCAATGGCAGCACGGGAAGGGACTGCTGCGGGGCATAAAGTGGGTGAGAGTCCCCAGGAAGGAGGTCCCATGCCTCTTTCCCCGTCAAGCTTCTAGCTCACCTCTGAAGCACCTTCTCCAAGACAGCACTGGTGCCCTGGTCTGGGTGGCATCCCTGCTGCCCTGTGCCACCGGAGCCCCTGGCACAGCACAGACACCCCACCCGGCCATGCATGTGGGCATTACCTGGAACATGGTCTGGCTGCTGATGTCCATGAGGAGCACCCTGTGCTCCACCACCTCCTCCCTCTCCTTCACCATCACAAATAGGCTGCTTGGCAGGTCCACCGTGAACCCATGGACCTCTCCACCCTCCTGCAAAGGAGGGACTCATCAGGAGAGAGGTTGGGAGAGGATGCCGGTGGGCCAAGGCCGCCAGGGCAGGCTGCCCAGGCAGGACCCACCTCTCTTTGGGAAGCAAAGGCCAGGTGCCGAGGAGCCTGCATGGGCTGGACCCTCAGGACGGTCACATGCACGGTGGCCTTCCCAAAGGTCTGATTCTGCCCTTCGAGCTCCACTTTGGCCAGCTTCTCCTCCAGCTCCCCGAGTTTGCTGTCAGGGAAGGGATGCAGTGAGCAGGATGCAGTGGGCACCGCACCCGGCAGCAGTGGGAACGGCACAAGCTGGGAACTCACCCCCGAAGCATCCGCTGCTCTGTGGCTCCTGCCGCCAGCACTGGAGGCTGGGCAATGAGGCTGTCCAAGGTGGCAAGCTGCTCCTCCACGTCTTGCTCCCAAACGGGCATGCTCTCTGGAGAGGCTGACAGGCACATGGAAGGAAATGCTGAGAGATGCACGGGCAGAGCGAGCTTCCCTGTGCCTGAACCAATGGGGCACAGCCCTGGTGGGAGCAGAAAGCAGAGGGCTTCACACTGACCCCAAGCCCAGGGAGCTGATGGAGACCGCAACCCAGAGGGCTTCTCCTGCCACCCGGAGCTCAGCTCCCACCAAGGCCACCAGGACCAGGCTGGCTGAGCTAGCTAGCTGCCTGGCAGTGCAGCTGGGACCCTCGGAGACCTCTGCTAAGCCCACGATTCCCCAGTATTTTAGGGGGCAAAACACCTGAAAATCTCCACCTTCATCCCTAGGCAGCCCAGGTACCAGGGGCTGTCTCTGGGCTGCTTTGAGCAAATCTACGTCCCCTGCTGTAACCCTTCAGCTGTGTCTCCACATCGTCATGCCGTAGCGCATACTAGGCCACCAACTACGCTCTGCTGAGGGCCTTTATTTCATTAAGAGAACGTTCAATTGCCTTTACCAGGGAAGAAGTATTCAGCTGCACTGTCAAGGGAGGTGTTCCTCCCGCCCTTTGCGATGTAGGAGACGTTGAAGATGGAGGTGCCATTTTTCTCAGTCTTCTGCCTCTCCTTCCCCTGGGTGATGCTGCCGGAGGGGTCCCCACCCAGGAGGAAGCTCTGCTTCCCATACACCAGCCTGAGGGTCCTGTTGGCTTTGAACCAGTAGACGCAAAAGCGGTACCTGCCCAAAGTGGAGGGCAAGCTGTACTTGTAGTAAGAGTCTCTCCTGTTTGGCAAAAAGGGCCTTTTTATTATCAGCGCCTGGGCCGTGTTCTCGATGGAGATGGTGGCAGGGCCATGCTCGTAGATGACAGAGCTGGTTTGGGTCTGGTTTCGGTCACCGCAGAAGCGGAAGTCCTCTTCCTGGCGGCTTCTGGCTCCCACCCCTGCATTGCACAAGCACACGGAAACACCGGCTCAGCTAGAGTGGTGGCCACCCCCAGCAAACAGCACACCCCCATGGCAGCCATCCCACATGGCATGCCAGGCTTTCTGCCCCAAGCATCCTGACCCCATCCAGGATGGGCTGTGTGGTGTTGGCCACGTCCCCAATGTCCCCATGGTCATGCTGGGAGGGTTTGTTGGGGAGCCAAGGCTCCTGGGGCACAGGACTTCCCATGTCTTGGTGCCACCCTCTCCCAGGTGCCACCACTCACGTCAGAAGAGGCCAACAGAGGAGCACTCCATCTCCAGAAGGGATGGATGGAGACCATCTCCTTATTCTGGAAAAGACCCATCCTGCCCCAGAGACCCCATGAGATGTCAGCCCATGAGACGTTTCACCCCTGTGGAAGCCACGTCTGCAAACGCCCCCCAGCCAATTTTGGGGAGCTGCCAGCTACATCCAGCAGCCCAAATCCATCCCACCGGCCCAGGACAGGAGGTGGCTGGGGACAGCCTACCTTGGAGCGGGGAGAGAAGGAGCAAGAGGAAGACCTTCATCCTGGGCAGCTCTCTGCTGTGGCTTGGCCTCCAAGAGCCTGGAAGGATGCAAAAGAAAGGGCCACGTGAGTATTTAAGGTATCACCGACACCTTGGGGTCAGGGGAGCAAAAGCTGCACGGGTGGGACAGCGGCTGGCATCACCGCCAGCTCCCTGGTGCCTCTGCCACCAAGAGGAGCCAAGAGCACTGGGCATCCTGCCAGGCCGTGGGCTGAGGGGAGGGGGCCCCACCGCCCCGGCACAGGCGCCAACCACCAACGATTCAGCACAGGAGGGGTCCCCACCTGCTTCGCATCTCGGTTCGGGCCTTGGCTTCTTATCGCGAGTGATAGGAACAGAAGGAAACAGCAGTTTCCTAATTCACCAGCCCTAAAATCACGCTCTTGGGTGCTTTCAGCTCCTGCAGATTAGCCAAGGAGCTGGGTGCATTGCAAACTGCTCCGTCATTTCAGCCCAGCAGAAATGGGCTCTCCCAGGCTTGCCCCGGCGATGCCGACGCACCAACCACGGCTGCCCAAACCCCTTCTGCCCCTCACAACCAGCCGGGCAATGTCCTCCGCACCCCCTTTCCCCATCCTTCCTCCTACACCCTGCTCCACCACCCTTTTCTTTGTCTTTATATGCAGCCAGCGCTCCTGTAACCTGCACCCAGGCCAGCACCAAGCACCCTGGGGCGCTACCACATCCACGCGCTCCCCCCAGCCGCAGCCCTCACACCCGCAGCCCTCCCCATCATGCTTGCTGCCTTCTCCACAGAACCACAAACTGCAGCTCTGGCGCTGCTGGACTGCACCGAACTTTGCTGCCTCCTCGCCCTGCTGTCACCCCAGCGATGGGTCCGAGGCTGGTGGGACCCATCCTGCCAGGGTCTGGCAACCAGCAGGAGCCCCCCCCCAGGGCAGGACAACATCAGCGGGGGCTGCTGGACCAGCCAGCAGAGCCAAACACTTGCCAATGCCCAAAGCCAAGCTGGCATCTCGCTTGCCACCGCTGCATCCCACTCCTGTGCCGTTCTCAAAGCATCGCCCTTGAACCCCACCGAGTGTCCAAATCCTGCTTCGTGTGCTGCAAGCAGGCACCAGGGTACCCACCAGTGTCACCTGCAAGGGCTTGTGCGCTCTCCCAGGCACCCAAGGGTCGTCAGATGGGAAGGCTGGGGGAAAACTGCTTGCTGGAACGCTCGGCGTCCCTGTTAGCAGGTTTCTCCCACCAGCACGGGTTTCTCCCAGAGGTTTCTCCAGCCAGCACGGATCCAGGGCCTATCTGGCACTGGCACAGGCCGCTTGCTGTCCCTCCCCGCCTGCTTCTTGTAGCAGTGATCACCGGAAGGCGGAAGACGGCGGCTTCAGGGAGTTAATTAACCTGGGTATCGAGTGTGGCGCTAACAAGGTTCCCTGGAGTGGGCTGACACGGTACGGCACAGGCACGACTTGGCAGCAGTAGCTGGATGTGGATGGGGCTGGCATCCTGGTGCCTTGCTGCACACTTGGGAATCATGCACGTGGATCTGAAAAGCACAGATCCGGGGTAGCAAAATGCCAGTTGCAATGGGAAACACAAACACCTGGATCGCTCAAAAGCAACAGAGTGGCACACAAATGCCAACCAAGGTGTGATGGCATAAAGCCGGCATGCCAGGAAAGCATCCCCTCTGGGTGGGGAGTGCTGAATCCCAGAGAGGCTTCAGCCCAGCCAGCTCCGCTGGGATTTTATTGAGGTGGTCGGAAGACAGGATCAGCCCCCTTCAGCCGTTACTCAACCAGGACCAGAAATCCCTGCAGGGATGTGGGTGGGGGAGCTGGTATTTCCCCTCCAAGCCCTATATGGTCCTGCTCGCCCTGATGCGGATCGCTGTTTCCTGAGCCAAACAATAGCAAGAGAAAATCCCCCGAAAATGGTTTCACAGCGCGAAAACACAGTTCCCATCTGTGCTGGTGATAAGCAGTGCCAGAGGGAGCAGACGCACTGAGCCCCCACTGGGGCTGAATCCTGCCCCGTCACCTTCCCATCCCAGGGTGGCAGAGGGGACGTGCAGCATCGCTGCCCCTGGGTACCCGTGGCAATGCTGCGCTTCCCCACTGGCATGGGGGCATCTCCCCAGTGTCACCCGTCTTCAAAATCCCCATGCTGTTGCAGTGAGCAAGCAGGGGCCCCTTCAGCACCAACCCTACCCCTGCCCCATCATCCCCAAGGCAGGATGGAGCCTGGGGGCTGAACCCCTCCAAGAACAACAAAGCATAGAAGAACTCCTCACTTGGCCCCCAAATCAGCCAGATGATGTAAAAAGAGGTGGCAGGGACACCGCTGGGGCTACACAGCCTAGACCAGGCTCCCTCACCATTAAAAGAATGTGCCAATGTCTGAAGGAAAAGCCAAGGAATGATACTGTGGCCTCTAAACCTGGAGGCAAACAGGAAAAAAATGCCACTTTACTGCTCTCTGGGTGACCTGGCAGCAGGTATTTTAAGCACGTGGCTTTTGGAGGTGACGTTTTTCCTAAGGAGAAGGGAAGATGCTCTGACGCCACAAACAAACACCGGAAATGGGGAGATCCAGGGGCTTTTATCTCTGTTTTCCTTCCAGGTCCATTAGAAAAATAAGCTGGCGCTCTGTTCCTCGAGATGCTAACGGGCCCGCAACTCATCGCCCACAGTCTGTGGGCCAGGCAAGGGCTCAGGAGCCAGATGGGGAAAATGAGGAACAGAGAGGCAAGCCAAGGCAGGCTCCCCAGGATGCAGAACAGCTTTGCACAGCCGCAGGCAACGTGCCCGAGGAGGCAGGTACCCTGGTGCGGACCCCCCCGCAGAAGGGATGCCCCAGCCTCAGTCACCCGGGAGCTTCACAAAGTGCCCTTGTCCTTGGCCAGCAGCCTGCAGGCGCTGGGGCCAGCCCTCACGTTGTTCATGGCATTGGCATGCGAGCCTTTCCCGTCACCAGTGGGCAGCAGGGTCCGACCCGGTGTGTTTGTGACTGCCCGAGGAGCTGAGTGGCAGGGGGGCCGGGGCGGGCGCGCCGCGC